AGGGAGAAGGTGGGCAGACAATAAATACCTGCAGGGAGAAAGTGGGCAGACAACCTGATGAGCTTCTGTTCCTTGTGTGTATCCCATGTGGTTTGGGTTCCTGCATCACCTCCAAGTGTTTCAGGGTCAAGTCCCACTTCATGTCACCTCCCTGCTCTGGTGCACAGCCAGGTTGCTCACCCCACTTTCCCCTTCACCCTACCTGCTGGGGGCTCAGGTTCTAGTCATGCTCTAACATAATCACATCATCAGAGTCTGTGCGGTTTGTTCTTTTTGCGAGGTTTCTGATGTGTGGTGAGTTGTTTTGTTCTTTTAATCTTCCTCGCTTTAACTGAGCAGAACACTGACAGCACACTGAAAGAAAGGTGTGCAATAGCCTGGGGACTGCTTCAGTAGCAGCTGTGTGTACATGTCTCATGTTGCTGTGCTACAGCCCAGACCCGCACAGCGGTGAGCGGGACCCTGTCCCTTCCTCTACCCTCATCTGAGGGTAATAACACTTTCTGAAAGGAGGCTAACGTAAATATGTTTCCCCACCACCATCTTTGCAGTTTGAAATGATACATTTTTATTATTTAAGACAAGGTGCCAAATATCCTGGTATATCTACATACTATCCGTCTTGAAAGTGTATCAGAATAAGCATCTAGAACTACTTGGCCACTTGGAGGGGGAGCATGATAGAAAGCCCAAAATATTTGCTATCAAGTATTTCCATTTGAAATATGTAGTAATTTTGAATTTTTTGAAATTACCAAATCTATTTAATGCATGAAAAATTTTAGATAGTTGAGCTAAACCACAATGGTTAATAGTAATATCAGGAGAAAAAATGATATTATGATGTAATCATGTAGAATCATAGAATGGTTTGTGTTGGAAGAGACCTTAAAGACCATCTAGTTCCAAGTTTCTGTGCTTGTTTCCCTGGCTGAACTCCCAAACTCCTGCAGTCAAAATGTCACGTTGTTTAATTGCTTGTGGTGTAGTTCCCCAAGTTTATCTGTGTCTCTGGTTTACTGAGTAGAATGCACATCAGTGTCTGATATGGAATACAAAACAGAGAAGCTCTGGTTTCCTTAACAGAAGGTGCATCTTCAGTCTTCCAGAACAGAAATATAGACCTAAACCCTGCAAAAGAAGACCAAACTAGCATGTCAATACAGAAGCCTAAATAGAATTAATTAACACAGAAATAGTAATGATAGTAGGAAGCATTTTAAACACTTACTTTACTTAAAATATAATTTGACTTTGATATGGATTCTGTGAAATGGTGATGATGACAGAAACAAAACAATCCGTCTGCATCCGCAAGTGGAGCAAATACATACAGACTTGCTTGGGTAACTTCAGTAACCCCAACTTTGGCAGTAGCATTTAGGGGAACAGCACTGGGTGTAAAATAGCAGGGTTTAATTTGCAGAGAGTTTATTTGAGCATATGTACTTTTTCTTTCTGAAGTCACCTAGGTTTTTATAAGAATATTTTCATTACTATTATTAATTATTTAGATGTGGCAAGATTATATGGAATACTTGTATTTGTATGGTTGCTAGCTATAGTCATAGTGTTTTGAATTCTGTGTTTCATCTAATTAAATTTCCAAGACTCCTTTTCAGGTATATTTAATTTCTGTCTTCATACAGATAACCTGAGCACTGTTTAAAATCCACAGGTCCCTGCTTTATGTGGGTTTATGTCAATCAGGCCTTGTTTTAGAAACATGGCATTCTGAAGTGACTTGGTAGATTGAAAATAAAGCAAATATGCTCCCTGTGGCAGCATCTCCATATCCTCTCACAGAAGTGTCTTGTGTGTTGCTGAATGGTTGCTGATATTTGACCTTCTCTGTGCCAGGTTGTTTTTAACTTTCATCTTCCACAGTCATGCTTGTATAGCACAATATCAGCTATTTTAGGACCATACCACTATATTGCAGTGCTTTACTTCAACCCATGCTTTCTTTCACCTCCCAGTGCTAATAAATCCACAACCTTGGCAGTGATTCCCATTGCTAGTGTAAGGAGAAGATATTTTGCAAGATAGTGTGTTGAGGGGTGTTTACTTAGAAGGTGGTACAGGTGAGTTGCTGCCTTGGCATATCTGGAAATGGATAAGAAGAACGTTGGTAGACGCCAGTATGGGTAAATGGTGTTGTGTGCTTGGATGAGCACAGATGGTGGATAGTGCGGTGGGAAAGTCTGTACAAAAACACAAAGACACTGGATTTAAACAGGTAAAACTCCCTAGCTTTCCATGTATTGGCATTTGAAGGGGTCATATGAGTACAACTTTTTTATTAGGGGCAACTAGATGTCAGTCACCTTGTCTGAGTATCAGTGTTTTCTGCTAGGGAGGGAGTCTGGTATGGTTTTTATCTTTGTGTAGTTCTTTAAGAGTTCACAGACTGGCCTATTACATTTAAGCCTTTGATTCAACACAGCTCTTCCAGGAAGTGGGTTTTAAAAATTAACAACTGTCGTGTTCTGATCAGGCTGTTAAAAAAGATGTCTCATGAAGTTTAAATTGGAAGTCAGATTAGTAGCAACCTTGTTCAGGTGCTTGGGCCTTGGAATAAGGGTGTACTGTTCCCTGCAAACGAGAAGTGTGATCTCTACAAAAAGGGCACAGAAGTATACAGTGTCACTTAAAATGCATAGAGGTGCATGCTAACCTCTTTGCACTGATTCTTTGAGAGAGGCTGTGGTAGCTTTAAAACCGTATCTTATCTGCTTGCTGTTTGATCTTCTCTTTCTCAGGGTAAACAGAATAGCTTCAGACCTCTCCGGGCTCCATAACTGACAGCAAGTGAGGTTACTGTTTAATGGATTGTTTAGAGCTTAATTTTCCCCCTGTTCTTCAGGGAATTGGTGTCTCTGAGAAAATAATTACATGCTTGATGAGGACAGAAACTTTATTGCAGTGGTCCAACAATCTGAATACAATTGTGACACTATATGAGAAACTTCAAGCAAATAGCCCATTCAGCAACCTTACATAACCGTGGCAGGTTTGAGTTTCCAGCAGATTTGAGTTTGCCTTTTTGATTATCATCTGATGTGAGAGGAGGCTTAGAGTTTCAACTTCACAATAAACCCATTCAGAGCAACTCTTTTATTAGCTTGAACAGTAACTGCAGAGTTCTCTTCATCTTTGGCTTCACTAAAAGAAACTATTTAAACTTAACCAACAAGCAGGGATCCTGGAATTATAAGTAGAGTATCATTTTGTTTTGATAAGGCTGCCTTATTACTTTGGGCTCTATCTTTGGTTCTTAAATGACCCTGTTTCTCTTTTGCATCATGGAACTTTTAGTACTGTTCCATGCAACTTGCTTGTTTTTTAAGACTTCAAATTACTTTTAACCCATTTACTGGAGATAGCTGCAGATATTAAATCTAAATGTTGGATTATGTTAAATGTATAGTCTTTTTCCCTACCCTCATGTGCAGTTCAGCATTGTAGGAAGGACAGAATGGAGTACAGACAGGTAGAGTTGGAATAGGGCAGGTATTTTCCGTGAGTTTGGGAAAGCTGGGCTTCTGCAAGTTTGGGATCCTGTTTGGATTTTTTTAAAACCCTTCCAAAAACAAGCTGGCTTTGTTTGCTGTTTTCATCTTGTAGACTGAAGTCTTTGTGTTTGTGGGATCCACTGTAGTTATTCTCCCACGTCCTGATTGCTCCCAGACGGGTGGAATTCTGCGTGCTGTCTTTCAGGCAGCTCCTGGGGATAACTTTGGAATTCTAGTGACTGTAGATTGTGGCTCTTGGCTCATATATGTGAAATTTCACGCAATACTGCAGAGCTGAACATCCTCAATAGCTCTGGGAAAAGTTCTGATAGCATTCATTCTACTTCTGAAATCTTTTTCGGAGTTCAAATGAAGATATTTAAGCTTTTTAAGTGTGAGGGTCACTGTGAGGTGTTTCAGTACAGGTTCCAGAACTGTACCTGGGAATCTCCTGCCATAGTTCTGGAGATCACAGAATCTTTAGGTTGGAAAAGACCTTCAAGATAGTCAAGTCCAACTGTTACCCTAATACTGCTAATACCATCACTAAACCATGTCCCTGAGCACCTTGTCCCCATGTCTCTTAAATACCTCCTGGGATGGTGACTCAACCACCTCCCTGGGCAGCCTGTGCCAATGCCTGATAGGGTTTTCAGTGAAGACTTTTTTCCTAATATCCAATCCAAACCTTCCCTGGCACAACTTGAGGCCATTTCTCCTTGTCCTGTTACTTGGGAGAAGAGACCAACCCCCACCTCTCTGCACCTTTCAGGGAGCTGTAGAGAGCCATAAGGTCTCTCCTGAGCCTCCTCTTCTCCAGACTGAACACCCCCAGCTCCCTCAGTCACTTCTCACAGGACTTGTGTTCCAGACCCTTCCCCAGCTCTGTTCCCTTCTCTGGACACGCTCTAACACCTCAGTGTCTTTCTTGTAGCGAGGGGCCCAAAACTCAACACAGGATTCGAGGTGCGGCCTCAGTCAGTGCCCAGTACAGGGGGACAATCCCTGCCCTAGTCCTTCTGGCCACACTGTTCCTGGTGCCATTCAGATTATAAATTTGTCTTCTTTTGAGATACTTAGTATTCTCTCTCAGACAAGATGGAAATGAATGACTTCTGTCATGTGTGATTCTTTTTTTTTTTTTTGAGAGAGAGCGAGAGACTGGGTCTTATTCCTCCATACTGTGTTATTTCTATGCATGAGTAGAAGTCTGTATTTTAGACAAAGCAGAATAATTTGTTTTGTGTTAAATCTCCTGTGGTGTGTGGTGGTCAATCTTCTGCTATAAACTCTTGTGCTTTCCATTTCTTTATACATGGGAAGGTATTTTTGTGTTATGCTTTGCTGCTGTATCTAGGCTCAGTAAAATAGGTGGTTTGTGCTGAGTTTCTAGGTGTCAGGGTGGGATCAGTGAAAACTGAAATATATGAATAAACACTATTGAACTAGAAGTCGTTTAATACTGATTTTTTGTTTTTATTCCAGGAATGTACTCCAGAGAACCTGGAACTGAAAAAGAAGATTTTCGGTCAGTTAGATCTTATTGTTGGTGACAATGTTATCTTGAGCAGCTCGACCTCTTGTCTCTTACCCAGCAAATTGTTCACTGGCCTTAAACATGTTAAGCAGTGTATTGTGTCACACCCTGTAAGTATGATGGCATGTTTTGGTTTTGTAGTAGTACAGGCATTTAACTAAACTGCATCCCAAACTCTTCTCTGCAGACTAAAAGATACAGGATGGATATTTGGAATACTTGTGTGCCATTGTTAGTGTGCAGGGGCCTGACTGGTCAGAAAAGCTTTAGTGGGTTGTTCTGTGAGCAGCAGCATCTGCTAGGTCGAGAGGATGTGTGCATGTTTCATACTGATGGCTCAAGATATGTTCTGTGTAAGCTGTTGTGCATTACTCCAAGTACTGGCTCTCAAAATGTAAGAATTCCATGCTTTGAAAACAAACCTATAAAATTCCCTAATTTCTTCTTGTGACATCATTTAGTCTTTTCTAGTATCCTTTTTCAGCTGCTGTTGTGTAACACCGATGTTCCAAACAGTGAATTACATGTGCTCTTTGGGTGATGTTGTTGGGAGATGGAAGCTTTTGATTCTGGTTTCTTCAGGCTTCTGATACAGAAGTGGTATACCTGAAGAGGAAAAGGTGGTGGATGAAATGGAACAAATTGTACTTGGAGTTGAATTTGCACGCTTGTGACCAGCTGAGACAGGGCAGTGATGCAGAAATGGCATGACTAGAGGTGGCAGCAGAATCTCAAAATGCTGAAGGGCACCTGTGAGCCTCTGTAGAGGTCTGTGTGGCTGCCAGACAGCAGTTTATCACATCTCTCCTCATCATGGAAGAGCATTTTGTCTTCATCACTGGGATTCTTACTGCTTCTGTCTTCAAATACTCAGTACCTAATGAATTTGTTAGCTTAATGTTAGTCTGGTGTTTAACAAATCGGTTAAGAGGACTGTTAAGAAGGTTTGCAGTATCTGGAGAATAGTACTGCTCGGCTGTCTGCAATTTGATAACTACATGTTATCTTTGCATCTCGGAGTGTAAAGTAAATGCCACTTCCCTGGGCATGCTCGGGAGTGGCAGTATGAACACAAAAATACAGCACTACTTTACTGTAGTGTCTCTACAGCTACCTGTGGCTTAATGCTACAGTGCTTGGTCAGTCCCTTTTTGACACCCCTCCACCACCACCATTGTGCCTTGGGGTGACTGTGAAGTAAAAAGAACAAAAGGATTGATCTCTTTCTGTATAATTAGTTTTCATCCCCTTTTAGTTAAAAAAAGAAAAAAAAACCCACACAAAAAAGTCAAACTTCACAGTATCAACGTACATATCTATGCCTAGGTTTAGCCTTTCTCCAGTCTAAAATTCAGTAGTTCCTTATCTCATGTTTCCAGGGTTGTAACTTTCTGCAGTGAAAGAGAAAAGATAATGTCTCTTCTAGACTTCTGTATTAAATACCTATAGTTAGGATTTTTTTTTTTCTTTAAATCACTTCCTGGGCTTCTGCCTATTCCCTGGCTGTTTGTCAGTCTTTGGTTTTACTTTACTCTTTCTTACTGTGTTCCAAGTTGGTCTGTACCAGTTGACTTGTTTAGTCTGAGCTGCAGCCTTTATAGGAGTCAGTTCCGAAAACAGGTTTTATCAGATCTGGAAAGGTAGCTAGTCCCTGTGTAAACATTTTCTAGATTGCTGTTGTATGGATATATGTATTTTCCAAAGCAAACACACTCTTCCAGTGGTCTTTCTGCATCTGTTGTATCAGGAAACATGCCTGCTTTGCAGTAGCAGTTGTTGGCTTTTGCTGTTTTTTGTTTAAGCCATGGCCTTATAATGTCTTGAACGTGAGAGTAGAACATGAGGAGTGGTAGCTGCAGGAGGCAAGCGGCTTTGGAAGACACAAGCAGTGTGGAATTTGATATACTAGAAAAATGAAAAGCTGAAGTTAAGCCTCTGGCACAGGTGAGCGTGTTGTGGAGAAGTGAAATGAAATGCCCAGAGGGGAGAAGGAGCTCATCCCTTTGTTCAACATAGCAGTAGGTTCAGTAATTAAAAAAAAATCAATGAAATCCCATAGCACAGTCAATGATAGGAATGCATGGAATACTTGTAGGTACAGCTGTTCTCTGCAGGCAGTTTCAGGCCATGTATCAGTAGAGGTCTTCCTGCAGGACAGGAGAGTAGCGTCCTTTGCTGTACAGGAAACCATGTAATCAAATCGCCTTAAAAATGTATTAAGCTCTATCGGTTAGAGTGGTATTTTTAACTCCACTACTCCTCTTGGAGTGGCTTCTAATTTTTGTTCCAGTCTTATTAACAGTCTTTTAAAGTGAATTTGATGTTTGTTGGCAGCTTTGGTGGAGCTTAGTTATTTCTCTGTGTTTAGTTTCTTATATCCTTTCTTAGCTTTTGGTTTGTTAGACTGAGTAAGGTAAGCTCTTGCGCTCCCTGAAGAAAGGCTTTGCGTTCCCCTTCTCGTTTTTAGAAACCTTCCCCCACCCCGGATTTCATCCTGATTTTACCAACATCTATCTCACTCCTAAAAAACTGTCTCCTCAGTGTGCTCATGAGCACGCCCATGTGCTCCCTGTGCCAAGTTCAGGAAACAGAATATCTCAGTATGAGACTGTCAGCACTGGTCTTGGAGGAAATTCAGAATAGCCTCAGTCTCTCTCAACAATTAACTTGCCTTCTTCCAGACTGGAACCTGTGATACACTTAAGGGTTAGACAAGCCTTCAGAGCACTTCTTGGTGCTTGCAGTGTTTTGGGGCTTGCTAGGTTGCCTGGCAGTACACCCGTGACGGTGTCCCTCAGCCGTGCTCCGCGGTGGCCCTGCCAGTGGCACTGGTGGGAGAAAGGCTGTGTTGGAACATGAGGCACTCCAAAGGGAATGAAGGGTGTTGCAGCAGTAGTTAGAGCTGATGTAACCTACATCAGGTTATGTGTTGGTCAGACCCAGCTGTAAAGGGAGCCATTTAAGTGCTGAAAAGAAAGAACGCGCGGAGAGGAAAGTCCCCCCACGTTGCTGTGACTAAATCCTGTGCTTATGTTTACGTGAGCACAGTTAAGAGCAGTTGGCTATGGGGGAGCATGGTGAAAGAATATGTACTTAATTACCATCCTTTAAATGTCAGTGTTATTTCTGGTAGTAATTTACGATGTGTTGGCTCCCTCTGTTACCTGGAAACTAGACTGAGAACAGAGTTGAACGTCTTAAGAACAGGGCTGAAGGAGCGCCGCTGTTGGAAAGAGCGCGCAGGCAGCGTTCCTGCCTGAAACGCTATGACCTGAAGAATTTTTAGCTGTTTCTAGGCTGTTCTTCAGAGTTTTCTGTTTATTACTTCAAAAATACATTATGCCAATGTCTTTACTTGATGATAAATTGCATTTGGGAACAGTCAGGGTGAGTTATTTTGGTTTGTTTGAAGTAGGTACCGTTTTTGAAGGTAACCTGTTCTGCAACTTTTTTATGTGATATCTGGTACTGTGTTTAGCATATATTTACAGGCTTGGGCCAGCAGCAGCTTATCTGGTAAGTGCTGCATCTTACAGGTGGTGTTTAGCAATGATTCTGTTACAAAGTTCCTGAATATCTAAAAGGAAATGCCTTGCTTCCTTTGCAAAGACAGGTGGTGACCACATGTCTTACAACAACAAACAGCCTGAATATTGAGAACACGTGGGTTACTCAAATCAGTATGAAGTCTTATAGTACTGAGTGCTATCATCTGTAGTGTAGCTCCGTGAGCTTTGCTGGGGTTAAGTAGAGTTAGATTTAATGCAAGATTAATTACTTTTAAAATTTGAACTAATACCCCAGCTTTTATTGGATTGGTGAAGTCTTTCAGGGTCTGAAAGCCAGGCTTACTGAGCTCACTGGAAAACATCGATGCTAGTAGCAAGCTATAAAGATGCTTTATATTAACTTGTTCTGTTAATCTGTTGATGGTTGACATTCTTCTTCTATATTTCTTCCTAAGGTAAATCCACCTTACTTTGTGCCATTGGTTGAAATTGTTCCTCATCCAGAAACAGATCCTTCTACTACAGAGAGAACATACGCCCTGATGAAGAAGATTGGTCAGTCTCCTGTCAAACTAAACAGAGAAATTGAGGGGTTTGTTCTGAATCGGCTCCAGTATGCAGTGATAAGTGAAGCATGGAGACTTGTGGGTGTATGTATTTTTTTTTTTTTTTTGGCCCAATTTCTATACACACACACAGAGCCTTTTTTGTAGATGTGACAAATGAGATTATATATTTAAATTTCCTGTAGACTTGTGTCGTCTTTGTTAAACTGTCTCTTATGAACATGAAAAATATGTAAACTAAAAACTGTAAGAATTTGTCAGTTATCAATAGCAAGGACTGATAGAAACAAAATTATATGATCATAACAACTATCCTTTATCCTCCTTTCTTTTCAGAATACTGTAATTTTCAGGGCAATCCAAAGAGCAATCTTGAAAGCATGGGATTCAAAATACTGATTTGTCTTATTTCTAGATTGTCTTAGTTCCTGTTATTTTCTGAATGTTGCTGACCTACTGTACAGTGGTTGTAAAAAATAATATTTTAAGTTGCTTTCTCTTTGGACTTTGAAGAATTGTACTCATAGATTCAACAGTTATTTGATACTTGTAGATAAAGACAAATTTCTCCTCCTCCTGCCCTTTCAGGCTCCCAGCTGAGAATCATTTGTTTGTGCCCCTTCAGCTTTTCCCACAGTTACCTGTTCTGTGCTGCAGTCTGATTTGAGCTGAATAATTGCTGTTCTGTTGAGAAGAGATACAGTTCATCTTGAGTAGGGCTTACTTTTCTTGTCATGAAGAGAGTTTTGATTTTTCAAGCTGTTTTGAAACAACCATGCACACGAATATAAGTAGAGATCTTAAAACTAAGGCAATATTAACATACTGTAAATGAAGTAACTTTTTTTCCAAAGTAGTATCTAAACATTGCTGCTGAACTTATTTTGCTCACCTGTAGTTAGCTTCCACTAGCAACACAATGCAACAATATAAAGGAGGTGGTGAATAGTAGTAAATAAAAGAGTGTTGTTAGGAAGGAACTGATCTTCCACTGGACATGTTTCTTTATATTTTAAAAAAAGGTTTCTGTTATTGAAAAAGTTAAGACAAAGAGAAACCCCTTCAGAAAGTTGTAGTCATGGTGAAAGACACAGAATAGAAAGGACAGCAACCCTTAAATTGTTTTTGAAAACTGTAAGAACACTGATGGGGAAAAAAAGATTTTTGGGAAGAAAAATGTAAAAAAGACTACTAAAAAATGTGAACAGGAAGGTAAGTTGGTGGGGGAAGAGCTCGCTGAACTGCAATGCTTACTGTTAAGGAGGGCTCCCACACTGTAACCTTTCCTTGAAAGGAAGGGATCTGATGTAAAACAAATCATGCTAAGAACAAGATTTTTGGAGGAGGAAAAAGTAAATGGGTAATGGCAGGCTGTGAAGGAGAAATGGAACTTACTTGAGAATCCCCAAACTCAAATATAAAGTTATGGTGTATTGATTGAGTCCAGAGGAGGCCACGAAGATGCTCAGAGGGCTGGAGCACCTCTGCTATGGGGACAGGCTGAGAGAGTTGGGCTTGTTCAGCCTGGAGAAGAGAAGGCTCTGGGGAGACCTTACAGCACCTTCCAGTACCTGAAGGGGCTACAAGGAAGCTGGGGGGGACTTTTTACAAGGGCCTGTAGTGACAGGACAAGGGGTCATGGATTTAAATTGAAAGTGGGGAGGTTTACATTAGATATCAGGAAGAAGTTCTTCCCAGAGCGGGTGGTGAGGCACTGGAACAGGTTGCCCAGAGCAGCTGTGGCTGCCCCATCCCTGGAAGTGTTCAAGGCCAGGCTGGTTGAGGCTTTGAGCAACCTGGTCTAGTGGAAGGTGTCCCTGCCCATGGCAGGGGGGGTGGAACTAGATGGTCTTTTAAGTCCCTTACAACCCAAACCATTCTATGATTTTATGATTTAAGCACCATTTTGTACACCAACTAGCATAATACTGCAGAAATGGAAGTTAGCACTTACTCCTTAGTTCTTTTAAGAGTTCAAAGCATTGTTGGTAAACCGTGGACCAGTAAGTCTAATAATGTGCAGGCATATTGGTACAACACCCTTGGTCAGCACAGGTAGCCAGAGAAGTAACGCCTCAGAAATCTAGTAGGATTCTTCCATGTCTCTGTGGCATAAAAGAAATTGTGGAAGTCACTGCCATAGAAATGCAGGATGCTAAAAATAAGAACATTTGGACTTAGTCATGTACAGAAGACTGCAGAAGCAACTTCCAGCTGTCAAAGTCTCAAAGACTTGCTGGGACTTGAAGCAGTGTATATCATTGAAAGTATCACTTGGTATTTGGTCTTTGGTTATGGAAAAGAGTATAGGAACAATTCATGGACTAGTGCTGGAAAAGAGGTATTGATTTGAGGTGAACCTGTATGGATGATTTCTGTGTGGGTGGTGCTATGTGAACAGTAACAAAATAGTGCTTGAAGCACTGGCAGATAATGAAAGTTGCTTTTGTTGTGCATCTTCAAAGTTTCCAAGTTGTTCTAATTTCATAGCATTTCAGGCAAAGGCACATTTAAACTGTAACAACTTTGATGGCTGTATTTCCAAGAGCCTGGACAAGCAGCAGCTGTCAGAGGTGTGTAGTGTCAGCTGTGTGACTTCAGGCTACATGCTGCCTTTGATGGGAGGAGAATCGGTGCAGATCGGTGAGAGCTGCAGGCCTGGGGCAGCTTCTGTGTTTCTACTGTTGTGCTGCCAACTTAGTAATGATGGGTGCAAATCATGTTCTTTTGGTGTTGTTCACCTTCAAAGTGGGGAAAAATACTTCTTGCTTCTGATAAAATCCCTTTTCAGTCCTTATTGTTGAAAATCTCAGCCTCCCCAACTCTGTCTTTCAGAGGCTCCTAAAAATCAAGTTGTACTCACTCAAGTTTTATTTCTTCCAGAAGCAAAAGTTTTCCTTACCTTAAGAAGCACCAAGGGTGGAAGATAAACTATTAAGACAAAACATTAGCAGGAGGGACATATTAATAAAGTATTCTTGTCCAAAATGACCACACTATAAATCCTTCTGTGGTTAGATATGTGAATTGCATGTATTGGATAAGGCAATCCAAGTCAACTTGGATGCAGAACACATTCTTACAGAATTATTTATGAACACTCTGGTATTTTTATGCTAATGGCTGTATACTGCTTTTGACTATTGTAAAAGAACAGTGAAACAGAACCATAAAACATAATTCCAAGCTTACTTGTTCTGTTAGTGGTTGTAAAGTTCTGAACAAGTATCTTTGCCTACAGTTACGTGGCATAAATTGATCAGTGCTCCTATTTCACCTGTGTATTTGCCTCAAAAATATTTATAGTAATGGCAGGAGAGTGGTCGCACACATGCACGTGTGCACGTACACATCTATCAAAGTCCAAGTTCAGACACCTTTGCTTAGACAGGCTTTTTTTTCTTTTTGGTTCTTTTTCAATCATGTGATCTTCTTTCATTCAAGAAACTAGTAGAAGCTTCTGCGGTAGAAGGATTGAGGTGCTGTTAAAGGCATTGATGGTAGGACAGACATGCAGGTCTGCTCGTCTCTCTCTTTTCTTTAACAGTGCCATGTTGGGATGTGTGATGGGTGAGGCATGGGGCAGGGATCACATAACGGGAGAAAGGCTGTGATATAGAGCAGGAACCTGGGGCTGTATAGAAAGCAGTGTGGTAAATACAGCTACTTGCTGGGTGATGTGTGGTGCACATCTATCATGTGGGTCCAGGAGTAGGAGAGGCTATAACACAGCCAGAAATCTGAGGTAAGCCCCTACCAGCAGGTTGGATTCAGGCTCAGACTCCACATGATGCTCAAATTGCATGTGGGCATGGATGCTGGAGCAGAGAGAGAAGCTTAATTCAGGGTAAAGTGATGAAAGCAGCAATGAGCAACCTTGGTACTGGGATACCGTTTGTCTTTGTCAAAGGTGCTGGTGTCCCCAGGAGCACACACAGAGAGGCTGGGATTTTGAAGCTCGGCACAAAATGAGTGGTGTGAATACAGCACTGTGCCAAATGTGGGAGTGGGAAGTATGGAGTTCAGGTGGTGAAGAATTAGGAGGCCTGAAATTTGAGATCCCGATTTGTAGGAAAGAGGAGAATGAAAACTTGACTGGGAACATACAGTTGGGTGCTGAGAACTTTGGCCGTGTGGATAATTAGGAATGTGGATTTAAGGATGCAGAAGTTTGGTTTTATAAGAATTCAGAAGCAAAGACCGTAGATCTACTTATGGGCATAAAAGAAGGAATTCAAGTAGCTGCACCCCTTTGAGGCAAGAGTGCTACAATGAGATGTTTAATTTTAGATCCAAGTTAGTCTTTTGTGTGACAAGATTTCTTTTTGAGCTTTGTTTGACTTGTAACTCATAAGCATTTGGACAGTGCAGGTGTTTGTGACAGTAAATTTTTTTGCATATGTTATCTATGTCTCCTCATGCTCCACTTTTATTCCATGAAAAAGCAGATACTGAGGGCACTCTAGTCTGATTCTTTATGGTCACAAATGTAAGAACTTTCTGCAGGACCACATTCTTGTAGGTTTCTTATTTACATTTTTCAATCTTAAGTCTCTGGTAAGAGTGTTGCAAAGCTGATTATGATGTGAGTAAAAGATGGACTGTGAAATGTTGAGGCTGAAGATCCTTATTCCTCCCTTCTCAACCCTAAATTTTGATACTACAAGTTTGGAACCATTAGAATCATCTAGTAATAGCCAGTAATAGGAAAATATCTCAAACAGCTTTCTCTGTTACTCCGTATTACCATTTATTGACTTCATCATGCCTCCATTGGCAGTGGTCACTGTTATGTCTGGTTTTGTTCCTAACTCCTTGGAGCAGAGACTTACTGCCTTTATTTGCCTTGAAAGCACCCTGTGCACTGCTGGTACTATTCCTTTTGTACCAGTACATTCTTTAGTAGTATGGGATTATGTTGCAAGAATGTTAGTTAAAGAGCTTGACTTTGTCTTGTTCTGAAGGTAAAGGTTTTGACTTCATCCAGAAAATAACCAGTGTTTCACCAACGCTTTAGATCAGAAGTCTCAAACCTCACTTGGAATATCAGGGACTGTCCTTTTACTGTGGATTACTGAGTGGAGGCTTATCTTGGTGAAATAGTTTCCTAAGCATCACCTGGAATTTGCAAAGATGTCATGAAATACAGCAGCAGAGATAGTGAGGACAGCATGGCAGTTTTTCAGTCTAATTTAGGAGCTTCAGCTGCTTTTAAGAACCTATTAAAACTGTCTTGTGTGATGGATCATATGATAAGTGTCTTAAGAGTCTGCACTTTTTTCTCTATAAGCTTTTGATAGTGTTTTAATGTATTTTTTTTCTTTAAAAATGGGTTTTCTTTTAGGTTGTAGCCATTGTAAAAGACAAAAAAAAAATGGGCAGCCCTGCCATTTTTATTTATATTTTTGAAAATAAGCTGTTGTGGTTTGGCTGTGTGTCCATTTTAGGGTTTTTTTTCACAGCAATCAGGTGTATTGGCTTCAGTCTCTAATTTATGTACCTCTCCCTTTTCAGGTGACTGGCTTGGCAGTCCTGAAATGCTGGCAAGACTTTTTAATTCCAAATTCCTTATTATTAAGAAGAGTATTATAGTGTTATCCAGAGGACTCTTCCAAAAGATCAAAGATAAGTTAGAGGGTTAAACACCTAGTTACAATGCCCCATAAAAGGGGGAATAGCATAAAAGGAATTTTAAAGGGCCAAGGAGAAAAACAGTATTCATATGAAGTGTTTCTTATAGGGTGAGGTGAGTGAGGGTGCCATAGAAGAAGGAAGGTAGAGGCCAGCAAAGTAAGGAGGTGTGGAGTGTTTAGGACAAGTTTCTCAAACACAATGAAATGAAAGGAGATGGAGCTGGTAGAGGGATGTAGGAGAAAAGTCATATGCACAAAATGACAGGACTGGAAAAAGATCTCATCAGGGCGTGGATGGAAGGGACTTGATTGAAGTGATAGTGAAGAGAAGGGTGTAACAAGTGCTGCTGAGAGAGAATGCATATATTATTGCCAATCAAGAAAAAAAATACTGGATTTGGGAGATACAGAGGATGAAGTGGCAAATTTGGAGACAGAAGGTATGTAGTCTGGGTGGGAGGGAGTGGAATCCAAAATAACTGTATAGGCAGGTTGGAGAGGGTAGAACATGATGAATTTGGTAGTCTGAGAAAAAATAGGATTGGTTTTTTTTGCCAGGTCACATTTAATATGATTACAAACCAAGTCAGTGACAGAAGTTGCGATGTGGGTGTGACTCATAGATGTAAAGACTCTTGAAAAATACTAAGCAGGTTGGGTCAGAGCCTAAAGGTGGAGACTGCAGAATTGCCACAGGTTTTTGGAAAGGAGGAAACGGCCCCTGCATAGTGAAAAGCACTAATAAAATACCAAAGGATCATTAGGACAATACTGTGGTGTCACAGGATGTTAAAATCTCCAGGAAGATGAGATTGTGGTGTATAAATGGTGTCATAAGAAGTGTGGAAGATTCTGAGATAGTCCAAGATCTTGAAGTTTGACTGGCTATGGGGGTCACTGAGTATTTTGGTGGAATTTATTTTAAATTAAGATCTTAATTCTGTAGCTGGGAAAGCTTCTACTGCAATTTAACACACTTCCTCTTCTCTCTGACAAGTGCTCGAGGGGAAGGCTTACAAGAAGGGTTACCCAAGATGAAGAGGATGAAAAATCCCCTTGGGAGGATTGTTTCACACCTTGACTTAAAGAAACTGGGTTGGAACTCCTTCTTGTTTTCTTCTTAGCATAAACACCGATCCTTATGGAAGACACCTTGCTGACCTTGCACCCACCCTGCTGAATCATTCCACCAAATTATGATCTCCTTAACATAAGTGGGAGTAGGGTTATTCCTTAGGGAAGGACAGTTTAACTTGTTTCTCATTTTCATGTTTTTAATTTCTGAAGAGAAAAAGTAAAATGCTTTTCTTTTGAGAGGGTCTATGTGACAAGGAGAAACTGAGCTTATGTGTATAGAATAATACATCCCTCAACTGGAGGAATCGGTCATGTTTTCCTTCTGGTAGCAGCAATTTTTGCCTTTTGGCAGCTGTAACCATAAAATATAGTCAGAAGGCCAAGGGGAAAGCACTCATCTCATGATTCTCAGGGCACCTTTTCTTCAAATGTCAGTACTGAATCTGAGGACTATGGAATCAAAAGAAATACACCAGTTTTTAATTTGAAAATTAATTAGCAGTGATTCTGGAGTGTTTCAAGAACCTGTTAACTCTTTAACGTTATGTTTACAGTTTAACTGCTGCTGTGGTTCAAATGCTTGTCTGGAACTTGTGGGTAATCTTTTGTCCACAAATCCATCTCAACCAGGAGGGGAAAAAAAAAAAATCAGTCATCAAGCACAGCTTCACCAGCACAACCCCTTGTTTGGATGAAGCACTCCCAACAGAAGAGAGCTTCTGTTGACTTTGCTGATGTGGTTCGGGGAAGTTGTGTCGCCATGTCAGGGGGAAAAACGCCTTCACAGAACACATGGTGCCTGTGTTAGTTACATTGGTCTGTAATCTCAACACCGTCTGAGGCACTTGTTTAGCCCTGTCTTTATGCAGACCTTCCTCTCTGCCTCTGGATGAGTTACTTTACTATACCTGTGCCTTGCCTTGAAGTTAAAGAAAATAACGCTTCCACATCCCTGCCACTTTGTCTAATTCAGTTGTTACCAGAGCTGCGTGTTCCATATATGGTGGGTAGATCTTAATGATTACGTTATTGTTTCCTGTTGGAGATGGAGTTCAAAAGCCCCCTGCAACAGGAATTCAGCCAAGCTTGTTTTTGATAGGAGCAATGCCTACTAGGAGATTGAGACTTGAGATTTAGTCTTGTAAAAGGCTCTATTTAAGCCTGAGATGATGAAACTTGATGTCTGTGGCCAGCTGTCGAAGTTATGCTGGTCCTTAGCTTATAACTTTCTTTTAAAGTATCAGTAGATGATGTAGTTGATGAACACAGAAAGATGATGTGGGTGGGACTCAGCTCATTTAAGATGGGATTTCTGCAATGTAGACACTGACATCCAAGCTCCTTACTCACCTTGCAATCAGAGAGGAGAATTAGGCCATTTTAGGACACAACTCACCTTACCTATTCTAGATTCCTGCTTTAGGATGCTGATTTCCTTGTTCTCCCTAGTGTTTATAGAGCGTCTAGATGTCTGGCTCAGATGTCAATGTCTACAGCAGGTCAGGAGCCCTGTCCTCCATGTCTGTAACTCTAGCTGATCACTCTGTGATATGAAGGAGCATTCAGACAGGCCCTGTGAGAGGGAAATTTAAGAGAAAAAGATGTGTCTTTGGCCAAGCAGATGAGTGTACATGCTTGTATTCTGCAGCTCAAAGGGGCTTGTGGAGTAAGAGGCACTGAGTGGAGACACCACCTCAAGATAGGGTGAGAAGATTAATTAGAAGCAGTTCAGCATCTCTTCCACCTTCTTAACCAGAAGTAAATGTTTTTGTCTCTCTAAAGAGGACAAGTTCTTGAAACCAAGTTTTATCTGATGGAAGTGGTTAGAACAGGTCTTAGTTAATTCATATCTTTCAAGTAGGTGGAAAACAACCTCGTATAATAAATATTCTTCTCAAGTAAATCTGTTAAGGTAATGAACTGTTAACTTTTTTTTTTTACAAGCCTTCTTGTGCTTGCCCTAACCCGATGGGGCGTTGGCTTTCTTGTAAGTGCTACCATGTGGGTGGAACAGCAGTGCTCAACTTTTAACAGGAGAAATGCTTAATTCTGCACGCTCTGTATCCTGCCAGCTCTAAGGCGTGAGGCTGGCAATGAACTCAAGCACCTGGGCAGGTTGAGGCTGGGTAGGCTGAACGCTCAGTGAATTTTGTGGGAAGGAGTGGCAGCTGTATTGCCTGCATGTTTGGTCCCAGCCTTTTTTGCAGGTGGCCTCAGGAGCAGTAACCCCTGCTTGCACCCCCGTTCTGCCAATTGTGACTCTGCCCAAAAATCCAGCACCAGGAGAGTACAAAGGAAGATGTAACACTTGGCCAAAACTCCTGTATATAAAAGGGCTGATACAGTACTTGGATTTGATATAAACTCTTTCGGTCATGTGTTGTTAAAATTGTCACATTTGTTCTGTGTTCTCAGATTCTGTTTCTGAGGAAAAAGTATATTGGTTAACATAAACAGCTCAACTTAGTTTTAGTACATCAATTATTGCAAGTAATAAGTACCGGGCAGGCTAGTGTGTACAATAGTACGTGTTGTATGAAAAAGAGTATTAATGTATAAATTTTAAAATAAGATACTGTCAAAATGTATCAAAGTGTGTTTGGATTATGAAGAACAGTAGTCTTACATGAGTGTTTATACTAAACTGTAGTAGGGCTTGCATAATAGATGGACACTGCTGGCAAGTAGTTGTGTTCCTGTTTGCAAGCTAACTGCTATTTCTAGGCTTGGTTTTTATTACTTTAATTTTTTAACTAAATACAAAAAGCAAGTAATTTTGCACTAAAAGCAAACATTCACAAATCTTCCTTCCTGTTCTACTTTTGCTGCTTAGGAAGGAGTAGTATCTCCTACTGATCTAGACCTTGTAATGTCGGATGGATTGGGAATGCGATACGCATTTATTGGACCTCTGGAAACCATGCATCTGAATGCAGAAGGTAGGTAGTTTAAAACAATATGAATGTGAAGGGAAGGCCTATGTCGCACAAGACGCGGGAAGCGTTATATAACAAACCAGGTTAGGATTGCTGCAACTATGGCTTGTCTACTGTAATACTAAGAAAAGGAAAATTTATCTAAAACTCGAGGTTGGATGGAAGGAAATGGATATTGACTATCGTACTGTAAGTGATCAGATGAAAGATGACAAATCATTGACATGCTAGCTGTGTACTTTGTTTTTTCCAAGACTTGTCCCAGTGCTTTGGATTCTTTGCTGTAGCCGTAGTTCAGGACTGTCTGAGTGTCAGGAAAAGGAAGTATTGAAAAACTTATCTGATAATTCAGTGTCAACAGTAACTCACTTTCTGTAAATGAGTGCCTTTTTTAATTATTCCCCCCAAGAATTTATAGCAAAGGCTCAGTGTAAATATCGCTGGAGCTGGCTTAGATCCTTAGTGAAGTAAAATTGCTTCTCTGCATACAAAGTTGACTTGGCAAAGCAGTCAAGTGACAGTTCAGCATCTGTCTTGCAGAACCAAGACAGGTTTTTAGATGTTGTTAGAATAGTATGCATGGATCCCAGCTAAATAAAAAGTGAATTGCATAAAATTAAATACAAGTTACAGATCAGGGTTACAAAGGTTTGAGCAGTGAGTAAAGATCAACTATAAATACATTTTTAGCGCTGCATATTGTGGGCTCTGTCTTTATGCTGGTTTTGTATGGTCCCTGACATGGTAGGCCTCTGCTCCATTACTGGATCTTTTAGGCACTGATGCCATGTCTAATAATACAATAATAAAATAAAAATAAGAAACCAAGGTCACAAAATCAGTGCACAATTAGAGGTGTTATTTTACGTCTACTTGTTGGTTAGTTACTTGGCAGAAATGTATGTTTTAGGCTGGCTAAGCAATTTTGACATGAATGTGGAATTATGGATCCTCTGCCACAGTCTATCAGCTTGTCAGTTTGGTTGTATATCAGTAAATTAAATGTCACAAAGTCTTTGCTTTTGTGCATCATTAGGTAAACAATGCCTATCCTCTAAATAGAGGCGCCTTCCTAAAAGTTACCCTCCTCTGATCTGTCTGGCAGTTTCCAGTTCTCTCTAGTGATTTTAAACTTCGTGTAAACCATACACACTCTTCACACAGCATCGGATTCACGTAGCACTAGATTTAAGCGCAGCAATCTATCTGGAGTCTTGCAGGCCAGGGTTGTCCAGTCCTGTCCTCACCATTCTACTAAGCTGCCATGCCAGCCCCTGCAGGAACCGTCTGTGCACATGCTCTTCTGTCAGAGTAGCTTGCTGAACTACCTCTTCTGAAACAATAAAACTGTGCTGGGTTCAGCCAAGAAAGGG